GAAAGCCAAAAAAGGCTCCTTTCTTTCTTTACAATCACTGTAGTTAGGTGTTGGGGAATAAACAAGATGAGGCAGTTCCTCCCTGAAATAACTGTAGTTTAGAAGGTGAAATAGCATTTGCCAGGATCTAATCAATATGGCCAACACTAGGTGCTTTTAGACTGATATTGGTCAGAAATTTGGGTTGCAAGACCTTAGGTCTAATCTTCACTCTGGTAGGTAAAATTGTACCCACATTACCTCAGACAGCACCACAGTGACCTCCCTGCTGGTGTTTCTGCACTGACCCACACAGGAGGACTCAGAGCAACTACCCAAGGTCCTGGAGACCACATCAGATGCTGGACTGAGCCTGCCCCAGACTGAGTCCCTTAATGCTGAAAAATAAAATTATGTATTTGCTACTGCACCCTTTAGGATGTCACAGATGAATGGCATGACAGGAAAGCCTGGCTGGTTGTTCTGCCACAGCCTGAGTGGTCCCAGAGCCATCAGGAGATGGTGATGAACACTATTAGAGAGTCTGCTCTTAATTAAGCAAAGCTTAGGCACACATTAGAGATGATCAGCAGCTTCTGCCACCTGTCTGAGCCTGTAAAGACACCTGGACAGGACTGCCTGGGTAGGGAGGCAGATTTGCAGGCTCCAGAGCAAATTGCAGGAGCACTGCTGGAGTGAGAGCTGGGCCAGAGGGTCTGTCTCACTGAGGGGATGCCAGAGGAGGAAAAGAGGAAAAGAGATGTCTCTTCCCTCCCTGCTGAAGGAATAGTGATTTTAGGCTCGCTTATAGTGTCAGTGCCCTGGAGCAGTCCATATGTGGCAGCATTAATGCTGCCTGCTTCATTAGTTGGGCAATCCAAGCTAACTACCACTATTTAACACACAATTGCACACCTAATTTTGTGTAAAATTGTAACACTGATGACATCATAACAGCTACTCTAGAGGTCAGATGTAAGCAACTACAGTTCATGGTTCCTTTAGGCAGGGGTTACTTGTTAGCTAAGAACTTTTTGTGGACCAGTAACAATACAGACTCCCCAAGACACTCCTTCAAAGACCTTTGGAGAACTTATAACCTACAATAGTTGCAACCTACATGACCATGTCCTGCCCCACCAGGTTGGTTAACAAACTTCATGCCATTCTCCTCCCCTGGGATGGTCTCAAGGCAGGACTGTGAATCTCATTCTTTCCCTTCCCCCTCTCTCTTTCATTAGAAAAGGAGCAGCACTACCTTTTTTTTTTGTTGCTCATTGCCTCTCCAAGTCAGCTGCTGGCAACTTATTTTTATCATGCAACAAGTAATCAGCCTGTGAAACTCATTACTGCAGGATGCCAGCCTTGTGTTCAGAGCGGATTGTGCTACTGCTTGAACAGACGGAGCACCTAAAGTCATGACAATACCTGTTAAAAACAGTTAGAAGAGATGCTTCAAGCTGTTTTTTGACTATCAGGAGTCTGTGGGGGATATTCCTATAGGGCAGATTACTTGCAAACTGCTGTACCTGCTGTGATTTTGGCTAGAGTTAGGATGCTGGGTGGGACTCTGGACTTTCTGCTTGACCTTTCCTGAACATTGCTGTCTCCTTCATTATTATCCAGTGTGGCATCAATACAGTTCTCTTGACATGGTTGCCACAGAGACAGGCAAGGAAGCCAAGCTTTGTTTTTAACAAAACACACCTCATTCTTCATGTTTGGGTCTATTGTGAAAAATGCACAAGGTTTAAGAGAGAAATGCAGAGCAAAAAGTGCATTACCTCCTACAAATACATGGGCCCATGATGCTCTTAACAGTCTGCCCAGGGCTGACCCGCTCCTCCCATCTTCCCCTGTTCTTGTCCTCCTCTTGAAAATTGTCTTCTGGTGGATTTCATGGAACTCACTAAAAAACTTGTCAAGATTTTCACTTTTCTAGCCATTGCAGGATGAAACTTGAGATAGTTCTTGTAAGATTAGAATTACTCTGCCCTGACCTGAGAAATATTAACACATCCACCCAACTGACACCACCTGGGAAAGGACTTCAGCGTGAAGAAAACATGCTGAAGCAGCATTTGCTTCACATTACTAAAAAAAAAAAAGATATATTTTTGAGAGTTAATCTCAAAATCCCTTAGCTGGTACCTTGGGAACTATACCATGTGCTCTGTTGTCCTCACTTTCACTCTGGGCTGGCTGCTATCCTTCCTCAGGCTTCAGCTTATGTCATGATGAAATGTCTCTAACCTCTAGGTCACCACATCTGTGAACAGCCAAAGAGAGATATTGCAGACCACATTTTTAGATGTAAAGCTGGGTTTTATATGCGTGTTTATTTGTAATTGCCTCTGTCTATGTTTATGCTAATCATAGGGTTTCTGAGACCTTAGAGAACCATTTATGGCACCAAACTAATGAGCTTTGCTCCCCTTATGGCATTTCATTTCCTGGGCAATGTGGCCACTGTAAAAAGAGAAGCACTTGCATTAATTTTGCCTCATAAAAGACACCCTGAGTCATCAAAAGGCAACAAAAGCTAAGCATTCATCTAAAGATATAATCACTGACCTCTTCAGCTTTGTTTGAATACATCCATGTCCTGCACTGTCCATGATGACAAGTGCTCTGAATGTTTCATCCTAGTATTTCTCAGCCAGAGGATTCATCTGAACCCCAAGGCAGTTCCCTGTGAACCCCAAAGTTTTCCTGCTGGTCCACATGTTAACCTCTCCCTGTTCCACCACTCAGCTGTCAATGCCAGTTCTTCAACAGAGTGGCTACTGTTGAGTGATGGGAGATATTTGGTCTCTCTCATGAGTGGCTAGACTTTTTTTGGGGTTGTCCAACTCACCATCACCCATGGAAAAAGGAAGAGGCTCAGATCAGGCAACAAAAGCAACCTGCAAGGAGGTGGTGGTTCACTTTGAGGTGAATTTACTGAGTAGGTACAGTTAGACTTTATGTCCCAATAGGTCTTATCTGTGCATATGTCTGATGATAGTATGTTCTCTTATGGCTTTGATGAAGCAGAAAACAGGGAAAAGTATTGTGTAATGAAGGATGGAAAAATAAATAAAATGGCCTGTTGAATTTCTGATGTAAATTGTAGCCTGACTGGTGGGTAGTCTGGCATCCAGGTGCCTTAGTGCATGGAAGAGTTTCCCAGGCAGAGTGGTGGAGGCAACTGCTACATTAAGATGCTCCTGTCTGATTCAGGAGGTGATCCAGGGGAGTTTTCTAGACACAGTATTGAAAGAACATAAGAGCTGGACCCAGGACCCTTGCCTGCATCCAAAACAGCAGGACATGGACCAAGAAAAACAGCAATAGGCTAACTCACAAAAGAAATGCATCTGCATTAGGAGAAGACAGTCACCACTTAGGGAACATTTACAGCTTTGGCAGCAACAACACTAAATTGTGAAGAAGCAACAGCAATATCAAATGGTATATTTCTGTCTCGTGACCAGACTTTGCTGCTCCACAGGCTAATGGG